CTGTGCCACCCCTAATACATGCACATATTCTTATAAACATCATTTCTTATATATAAAAAACTAATACTATGTTGTCTGAAAGTACTTTTGAAAAGACCAAATCTTGTTGTCATATATCAAGGATCCACATAATGATTTTAGACCTTCTGAACTCAAGACGATGGATATTTAAGAGGGCGAGTTTAAGAGAAAACAAAAGTTGGGTTTGACTTTTAACACTCTATAAAGGCTGCAGTGTGGCTGTGGTCGGACTTTTACAGGCGCTAAATAACTCACCCATCGAGTTTAAAGGGCCTTGGTCTCATTCATCTGACCAGACCTCTGACAAATACTACTGCTGGGCCTTTTGTCGTTCAGAGTATTAACTGGGATAGTGACGTCAGGGGTTGTAAACCTTTTATGCACAGAATCTCCTTATGCACTGAAAATGTTTGAGATTTTTATATTTTGGCACGTATCATTCTCCCCTTCAATCTCTCTTTTTTCTCTGTGTATTATTGGCTGTTATACTGTTTTGTATACAGGTTTCAAAGCTGCCACCTGCCATGTTCTAACCTGCCATATGCTCTTTAAGTTTTTATTTTTTGTAGTTTCCATTGTTGGACTTGCTTATGAACCTCCTCAGCTTCCGTAGTTGCAGTCTGACCTGTTGTATCACTGTAGTTTTGCTTTGATCATTGAAGATTATATTGAGTTTTGATCCTGGATTGTTGTAGTCTAAAAATAAACTTTCATTTCTCAGTTTCAGTTTGTAATACTTGCAATTTTTTTCTTTAAAGCAACAGTGCGCAACTTTCTAGCCAAAAAATAATTATGGTTGCCTTTATTGCACTGACTAACTACATTTTTTAACTCAAAAAACATCCATTCTCACTTTGAGCAGGCTTGCTTCTCCACAAACCTGACTCTTATTTAGCCTGTATGGGCGACAGTAGCTTAATCAAAGCATTTGTCCATTGATCTAGAGGTTGGTGGTTCGAATCCCGCTCTTGACATAAACATCATTGATTGAGCAGTCAAGTCCACACTGGCCCACAGGTTGGTGGCGCAATTCCAGCTCCCACAGATGAATGATGTCATTGTGTCCTTGGGCAAGACACTTAACCCACCTTGCCCCAAGTGTCTGTGTAGAGTGGTGTGTGAATGCGTGAGTGGTTCCTTGTTGTAAAGCGCTTTGAGTGCCTTGAAGTTGGAAAAGCGCTGTATAAAAATGTGACCACTTACCATTCAACTACAATTACCATTTACTGTCCTGTTTATCTCCATACAAATCTTGTTCCTTTGACAATAGTAGGACATATACACACTACAGGTCAAAAGTTTTAGAACACCATACTTTTTCCAGTTTTTGACTGTTAACTGTTGACCAAAAATTATTCTAAAGTTTTGATTCATCAGTGTCCATGTTTGGCAGATATAACAGCTGAACACACTCGTGGCTCGCACTTTTTACAATAGAAATCAAATATTCTTCAGAAAGTTCTTCCTAAGTCTGCTGCATAAGTTTCCATAAATGTGTGGCACTTGTAGGTTGCTTCACTCTTCTGTCCAGTTCATCCCAAACCAGCTCGATGGGGTTTAAGTCTGGACACTGTGCTGGACACTCCATGTTTTCAAGCTTTACCATCTTGTTCTTTTTTCCTGAGGAAGTTGTGACAGAGCTTGGACTTGTGTTTTGTATCTTTCATTTTTTCTTTACCTCTATCTGTTCAGTTCTTACCTTTGTCCTTTGTACCATTTCAAGCTCTTCATTGAACTTGCACGACTTGAATTGCAATAAATAACTGGAAAAATGAGGGTGTTCTAAAACTTTTGACCGGTAGTGTATCTCCACAGAGAGAGTTCTGAAGTATGGTGTACCTTTAAAAGTATGTATCTTTAAGACTTGTAAAGTGAGAATGTGTACCGTCATATTTTGGCTTTACACTGGTACATTGGCATTTCCTCGAGTGCTCTTGACTCAGCCCCTCCGTCTCTGAGCAGTACTTTAGCTGTAATAATGTATTCATATTTATGTAGCTCGCAGCACCAGGGCCGGGACAGACCACTACTATATGTGACTCCTTCACACAGCCGCCTCAGTGGTACCTCAGCCAAGTCTTTACAATAGGCCCTTTGACCCGCCCGCACACAGCCTGCCTTTATACACCACCAGCTCCCTTAAAAGTCACCCACCAGACATATTTTGCTACTTTTAACAGCTTTAATTGTGTTATTCTAATGTTTCCTCGTAATAAACATAACTGTAGTTGTGTGTTTTTGTTCAACTAACTTAACAAACTTACGGTGGAGATGCCGTTGATCGCTTTGGTTGGAATGTTTCACAGTATGGCATTAACGTATTTACTTTCATGGAGTCAAGTAGGTTGGTTACACCATTAGGTCAAGTTACACGTCATATCTGTGGAAAGACAAACCTGCTCATAGTAAGAATGTGAGTTTACGAGGTACTTCTGAGCAATAAAAACACCTGTAATTGAAGAAAGGAATGATAAATAATAATAAGTCATTGTGGAACATTCCAGGCAAAGCAAATTACATTTTCATGTGGTCGTCCCTTTACTGGAAAAGCTACATAATGTAACTTTAATCTAACTTATTTGAGCATTTACCTGTATTGTAATATTGTCTTCAAAAATATACTTGAAGTTGTGTTTCATTCACACACATTTGAGAAAACATGATTGCTAAGGTGTTCTCAACAACAAAAATGTTAAAGCCACACTATGTAACATTTAGAATAACACACTCTTAAATTCAACCATCACAGAGAAAACAGTACAGAATAGTTACAGGCAGATGGCTGGTTATTTCTCATCCAACTTACCAAAGCAGAGGCAGCGCTGCTGTGAGACAAATGTAGACGGCTGCTTAGGGCCCCCAAACTTGGAGGGGCCCCCAACCAATTGCCCTCAGTGCCACTAATGGCTGAGGCCTCAGAGCAATTTCATTTTCTCTCAACATGACATGAAATGAGAGTAGTTTACTTTTAAATAATAAAATAAATAATAATCATATGCAGTGGATATAAAAAATGTAATTGTACTGGCAAAAAGGTAAAACTACTTTCAGTTCTGTTATCTAGTAGGCTCCATAACTAATAGTTTAACTAAAAGTATTCAGTCCACCATAATTCAAATAAATAGATGTGTGTGTCTCAAGAACAATGAGGAAAAACAGACAAAAAAACAAACAAAAACGGTGCATTATAGTGAGGGCCCCAACCTCAAGTTCGCCTTGGGCCCCCAGATTGCTAACTCTGCCACTGTACCAAAGTGGGCACAAAGATTCTGTTATAATCTAGCTCTGCCTGTTACTGACAGCATCATTCAGCCCATTTACTTTTACAAATTGTTGCTCTTACACACACTGCATGGTGCAAAGACATTTTCCAGAATTAGAGAAAATGAAGGCTAGGCACAGAGACTTTCATTACCAGTGTTTTTGGAGCTCAAAAAGAAATAAAGCCAGGAGCTAACTTTTTTTTTTAGCTCCTTTTAGGAACTGTTTTTAAGGTGTTGATTTTAAATTTCATAAACATGACCTGTCTGTGTGTCTCCAGAAATGAGGTTGACATTTTAAAAAGGAAAATATATTTTACTGGAAACAATTATAATGCTGATTTATTCTTAATACGTTCTATTCACGCTTACCAGACGTCTGGAAACATGCAGATGACACTGGGCGTGTGATAAAACCGTGGATTCAGCAGCAGCGTCTGCACAACCTGCCAAAGCTTCCATGGAGGATGTGACTCTCATCCTGTCTTTGATGTCACTTACAGGCAGAAGGTTAGAACTGTTGATCTGCCAAACATAACGGGACGCTACAATGACATCTTTTTTTCTTTGCTTTTCAAATTATAATATAAATTGTAATACACAAATTAATTGGCCATTTGTAAAAGGAAAAAAGAAAGACTACAATGACATCTAGATGAAGGAAGTCGGGCCATTTTTTCAGTTTCCCAGATTTTGTCAGAGTTACTATCTCCAACAGAGTCCAAAGGAAGTTGTCATCCGTATGTTTCCAAACGGCCTCTGGTTTTGTGACGTAAGCGTGAATAGAGCTTATTACAAAATAAGTGGTGAAGTTGTTTATGCTATAATTTGGTGTTTTGGTTCTCTAGACGTTTATCTAATCAGAAAGCAGAATGTGGTTATGTTTATATGATGGTGGTCTGAACAGAAGATGCAAAAGTGGTGTCGCGTCTTCACTTTTTATTCTGCGTTTAGACAAGCGTTTTTGGGAGGAAATCTGCGTGCATACAGTGACGCAAAAGTGTGTAGAATTCGATTGTGTATGCATGCCAGAGTTTTGCGTCTTCTACATTTGACAATTAGACAGAAACGCTACGGCAGAGCGTATTCAACTTTTCCTTTCTGGACGGTGGTTTCAGATTTTTGCGTTTTTAAGCACCAAAAACGCCATCATTGTCTAATTGAAAGGCACTTCAGATAAAATATGTTGTCGTTTTTACCTTTGGGTTGCCAATTTCAACACTGAAATCCAGTTGGTTTAAACCTAAAATGCCTCTCTCTGATCTGAATGGTCACTTCCTAAACTCCAGCTCTGAAGAGTCAATCATGAATGAGTGCTAGTGCAGCCTCTGCAGCTCAGGGAGGGAATTCTAGAGGTTCTGAGCGCTGACATGAGGCCTATCCACACACTGAGAATGAGACAAACTTGTATGTGTCTCTCTATCTGCAGATTAAGGCTCTGGCAACACAGATTCAGTTGTGATTATATCTTCTAAATTGTAAGATCGAAGGCTACTTACAGTTTTGTTAACACTAATCAGAAGGAGCTAGAACCATTTAAGCACCTTACTTCATACTATTTCCCACAAGAAAAACACTGGCGTTTATTTTATTTTTTATCTTCACTTGTATCTTCAGTAATCCGATGGAGATTCATTAGTATTTGGGGCACACTCACACGTTTTAAGATATACAAATGTAAAGATGACACTAGAACAAATGAAATTCAATACATTCAGCTTCAAGATTCTGCTACTGTATTTTTATTGCAAAAAGCATCAGCACCTGTTGTCGACACATTTGATGAAAACAGAAAATCTCTTCTAGGTCACATAAATATAAATATCCATAATTCATATCCGTCTCATTTGAATTGCATTGAATCTGATGGCTTCACACCGCATTTGGTAAACATGAGGCTAAAGTGAGAAGGTGAGGTTACACGATATACTTCGACTTTTGATGGCATTATTTCATATTGAGGATTTTACCTGAGATCAAATGGAAATATACCATAGTTGGTGCATAGCTGTCGATGTAATAGATCATATTGAAAACAATGTAAATGAACTAAATGCTATTATTCAGGCTCAGCTTTTTGACACTGTAATTTGCTCTTTCTCATAGCACACAGGTTTCATACATTTTCACATACTTTTTTTTTGAGTAACTTTGGCCGTCTCCTTCGTGAGAGACTATTCTGACACAAGCAGCTACTGTTATTAGCCTTATTCAAGTCACTCCCAGCAGCAGCCAAGAGAGACGATTATTTTTGTGTTTTATTATGTGTTAATGTGTTAATTATGAAATGTGAAATTCTATCTGCTGGGTCCTCAAGCAAGTATCTGCATAGCCAGGTCTTTTTTTTTTTTTCATTTTGGGTGCAAATTTCAGCAAGTGGATGCCAAATGTGTTGCAATGTAGTATTTTCGGTCTCTCAAAAACATGGAGAATATTGTGATGGCTTGAGACTGGTGGCAGAACCCATTTTCATCAGAAAAAGCTGTTTCTCATAGTGATGATCTAATGCTCCTTACGCCAAGACTGCACTGGTCCAGCTGTGACTCCATTGAGAGGCTTTAGCTTTGGTTCCTGTGTGTGAGGCTTTAGCTGTGACTTGTAAGTGAGGGTTTAGTTATGACTCCTGTGTGAGGGTTCAACTGTGAATCCTGTGTGAGGCTTTAGCTTTGACTCCTGTGTGAAAGTTTAGTTGTGACTCCTGTGTGAGGCTTTAGCTGTGACTCCTGTCTGCGACTATAGCTGTGACTCTGTGTGAGACTTTAGCTGTGACTCTGTGTAAAGGTTTGGATGTGACTCTGTGTGAGACTTTAGCTGTGACTGTGTGAAAGTTTCGCTGTGACTCTGTGCAAAGCTTTAGCTGTGACTCCTGTGTTTGAGGCTTTAGTTGTGACTCTTGTGTGAGACTTTAGCTTTGACTCCTGTGTAAGGCTTTAGCTGTGACTCTGAGTGAAAGTTTAACTGTGACTGTGTGAAAGTTTAACTGTGACTCTGTGAAAGTTTAGCTGTGACTGTGTGAAATTTTGGCTGCGACTCTGTGTGAACATTTGGCTGTGACTCTGTGTGAAAGTTTAGCTGTGACTCTGTGCCAGGCTTTACCTGTGACTCTGTGTGAAAGTTTAACTGTGACTGTATGAGGTTTAATCTGTGACTCCTGTGTGCTTAAAGCTGCTCACATGCTCTCCTGGTAACTCTTCATTTCTTAAGGGAAAATGCTGCGTCTGGCTCTGGTATTCGCCCAAAATAGACTGTCAACGGAAAGAACCACACAGCCGTGTGTTCAGTTTGAGCCCGGAGTTAGTGAACCTGCCATTAACAATATGAATGTTTATTTGGGTATTCTGCCTTAGGTAAGATTTCTTAACTTTAAATTTTACGCAAATTATCTGGTTTGTCACATGTAAAATATCGACACAGCCACAGCCCCCACACATGTGAGAAAGTACAGCTGTGGGACGAAGAGCTGACACTTGTCTGAAACTAGGGCATTACAATTGTTGGATTCACAAAAGTTCAAAAAAAGCATTTCACTTTATACCATGGGAACACAGTGATAAACATCATTAGTATGTCTGCACGTTTGTCCAAGTAGTGATTGTGGCACTTCTTACAAAAGACACTTCACAATGGAGCAGTTGCATCACTATATTTCCCTTTGTTGCTTTTCTTATCAAAATCAGCCACAGTCGAACCTTGTTCCTCATATTTTAGTACATTAACTGACTTTTGCCACATGAACCTCCCAAAAAGCTTCAGTACCAGACCTGGCTTCAAACATCAAGTCCAAATAATAAATATGGTCACATCTGGAGACTTTAGCTCCAAACCAGAGGCACATTATTGGTGAGTATGGCATGGGAGTTTCCTGTTGTTAACATGACTGTAACCTGTAATCTAGTAGCACTTTATATTACAGCACGAGATAAAACCAATGAGACGGGTAATCACTCTCACCACAATTAAATAAAAATTCACATTATGCAATTTAATAAAGCTTTTAAACACTGTTCCCTTGTCAAAAACATACCATATTTATTCTTGTTTAATTAATTCTGTTGAGCTTGAGAAATCAGTCAAAAATCTCCCTGGATTGTTATGTCACAGGTAACTCTATAAAGGATCATCAGACTCTGAGCATTACTCTCATCAAACTGAGTTCTTATGTCCAAAGCAAAGGCCAAGTAACTGAAACACTTGAGTTACTTTTTAAAGAATTCGTACCTTTTAGAGTATTTCTCTAGTAGCATACTTTCACTCCTGCTAAAGTAATATTTTTATTGCAGTAACATTATTCCTTAATAGTTTCCTAGTAGAAATCCACAACATTATTCTTAATTAAACGTTTTGGTTCCTCTTCCCACTGTGTAATTATGTAATGTTTTGTCCTTCAGATTTCTGTACATTAACCTCAATTTATACATCAGATACTACTCTTTTTCCCAAATATATATTTTACTCTAATTTCTTGAACCACTAAATACACATCTACTTCAGTAATATTACTTTGAAGTGACATTACTCTTACTTCAGTACAATTTTTGGCCACTCTACCGACCTCTGAGTGTGCAAGGGTCGAATCAGCGATCCTTTGGTTGGTAGACTTCCACCAAGACATACTGTTCTTGTGTCTGCTTTAGAGCTATAATCTATAACACCTGTCAGTAGGGGTGTAATGGTAAATGTATTTGTGCCGAACTGTTTCGATACGGGACATTCAGTTCGGTGCGTGGTTGTGCAAGACTGACTTTGCGCAATTTGTGTGTGTTTACATTCCACCACTACATGTGCAGCTATACGGAAGGCTCAGCTCTTTAATATTCACAAGGGAACTCGTCCATGATTGGAATAGCAGTGTTTCTCGCATCGCTTTATAGCCTGGGCGGCTAGTCCTTGACTATGTCCTTCCGAACCACGCGAGTCCTACGTGAAAACTACGGTCTTTTGTCAGAACCGTTAGTGCTGCGCTTTACTTTTCAAAAAGTTTTGTTTACTGTTTACAAGGATTTTTATTTTTTTATATTTCATACATTTGTTTATACATTTTTGCTTATTTGAGAATACTTTATTTAACTTATAAGTATTACCGAGCAGTACTTTGCATTTCTTTTATTTTCCTGTTTGTATAATGTTAAAACAAATTGTTGGTTTGTTCCCACACTGTACCGAAAATGAACCAAACTATGACCTCAAAACCATGATTTTTGTGTACCGTTACACCCCTACCTGTCAGTCATTATGTTATATTTTGGCAATATTAATATTAAACAACTTAATAAAAGAAACAAGTCAGCTGACGTCCATATTAATAAACTGGTTGACCAATGGGAGCTGATGTCGCCGTAAACACCATCACAACAGAGAGCCATGCAGCTGTCGGAACCTCCTATGGATAGCTGCACATTACACTATATTTAATCACACGTGCTTTAAGCCACTATTCCACGTTGACTCAGAATGGCTTATTTTCTATCTAAAGTTATTATTACAGATTACTTAGCTGTAATATAAAGTGCCGACCCATCTCCCTTTAGCTACATGAAGTCTTTGCTTGCATCAGTAGAACATCTTCTCCTCTAGCAGACTTATGGATTTATTCACCAGCGTCTTTTCATCGTGGACAAACTTGTATCCAAACAGAGTCATGGTGGGTCCACACACCCTCTGCACCGCCTGAGCCAGCGTGAAGGGGATGTTGAATCTCCACTTCTCCGCCTGCTCCGATGAGTTCTTCTGGGTGGAGTAGATCCCACTAGTGCCCTGGGTGGTCTGGGTATTCCTCACAATCCAGTCTCGGGCTTTATCGGTAAAAGGTATCCCGGTGAAGCGGTACATCTCCTGGGCTTTCTCCATGGGGAAGCGTGCTATGTCCTCGTAGCGCACTAGCATGTAGCGGCCCCGGAGCCAGTGTGGTTGGCTCAGTCCCACCTCCGCCGACATCCGGATGTGATCACAGTTTCCCTTTAGTCTCTTCACCTCCTCGTCGTCTTCTGGCACCTGCAATGAAATAAATCAAATTACATTACTTTCTTGAGGCATGAGCAAAACACTAAAAATGCATTAAAAACAAATTGTCCAAAGTAGATACATTACTGTATTTTCCAGGCTATTAGATGCGCTCTTAACCCTCTAACCCCATCAAAAAACCCCGCACCCCACAATCCAGTGCGCCCTATACATGAATCCACTTAGGTGTCCCAGCACAACTTCAGTAAACTACAAAGCCACACCACCCGCAGCACATGCAAACACGCACAGAGCAGACAGCGACCATCCACTGAAACACACCCACAGCCACACTCATCACTCCACACGGACAAGGAACGGAACGGAGGAACGAACCGAAAAAGCGAGTCCAATGTGACACTCTGAGCTACAATGTCACTGCAAACACGCCGACAATCCAGCGGTCCCAGACAGCACCCTCCCTACACGCCACAACTGAACAAAGCCCAGAGTCACCGTGAACGCCACAAACAAACAAAACCACTGACCCATCCAACTGTTGTGTTTAAAGTCCGGTGCCGTTTATTTGTGAAAAAAGTCTGAAAATAGAGCGTTTAATGACCAGAGCACCTAATAGCCCGTAAAATATGGTATTTGTTTAGGAACACAGCAGATGTGCGTGCAGCCTGAGTACAGAAAGCGCCGCTGTCTGTGTGGTTAACATGAAGTTGCAACACTAGTTTCAGATGTTGCAATGCACCGTGTGATGAAATAAGTTATGCTAAATTAACATTAGTGAGTGGGATACTCCTTCATGACCCATATGTGTTAAATGCAGGGGGGTGCGTAAATGATGAGTAGAAATGGCATCCACAAATATCTGATCGACATACCTTGCCCCGCCCCCAGGAGCTTGCCCCCTGAACTCTAGAAATGTGCAGTAGAGCGCAAAGTCTGATAATCCCTCTATTTCACTGTTTCCCAAAGACTGGGTCGTGACCCTCAGGGGGTTGCCCTGTCACAGTCTTCATGTTGTTTGTAATGTTAAGACATGTTTTGTATAATTTCTAATCTTTTTGTAATTATTTGATTGACTGTTTTGTTCCAATATTGCTGGTTCAGTTGAATGTTGAAAAGAAAAAGAAATGGGCAACATTTAATGTCCAAATAGGCGAATTATGGATCCTTTTATTGTTGGTTCAATGACTGTTTTTTATTGTTTAAAACTTGAGTAATACTAATTGTTCAGAGACACGATCACTCAGTCAACAATAAAATATCCTCATTAAAGTTCAATAATGCTCAAATCCACCTTTATTTTGTGATTTACGAATAATATCTATTGACTTGGGCCATGAAGGTTTGTGACTTTTAAAATATGGGTCCCCAGAAAACAGTTTGGGAAACACTGTTCTATTGCCTGACAAATTCAGGATGATATCTCTCTGTGTTACTTATACAGAGGAACCTTCATCACGTCTTGAGCCAAAATTAAACATGATAATGCAATCAGATTTGTTTTTCTTTTGTTAAACAAAAGAGCTCATCGGTCACAAAATGACATTTTTCTAAACTAAACTGAATTTAGTGTTTTTGTCAGTCCTTTGTGATTCTGTTCTTTTCTTTTGCCCTCGTGAGCAGTCATATTTGTTTTGACACAGACAGATCATGCATTTCCCTGATTGGCTAATTGACCTGTCAATCACACCCATCTGAATTTAGGGAAATGTAACAGTTACTAGACTCACATATTTGTGTTGAAGTGTGTATTTTGTGCTCACCAGTTGTATTTGTTCATTTTTAGAATGGGCTGGAGCTGCAGTGTTTGTGATTTGACTGGGAGCTCTCCCACTAAATAAGAATCTTAGCAGCCTATGTAAATCTAACCTTCACTAGTTGAAAGAAAAAACATTTGACCAAAGCTTTAAGTCCAAAAAGTCACCTTTTAAAAAAATCATTAACCTGAGAGCGAGAAGCTTTGTTTGAATGGTTAGTAAATGAAAGTGAGCAGCACCTGGCCGTCCAGCGCCCAGGTCTTCCACGTCTGGTACTTGGAGGAGAAGGCCACCATGCGAGAGGCCAGGATGGCTCGAGGGTCCCGCACCAGCTGGATGATGCGGATGTCAAGGCGGGGGTCCTCCACCAGGGACTGTAGTGAGTCCAGCTGCCTGACGCGCACAGTCTTTATGGCGTGGTGCTGTTTGGACAGACACGACTCCGAGGCCAGGGTGAGGTTCAGGGGGCCACAGCGTCTACTCTTACAGTGATACCTCAAAATAAAGAAACAAAACAAATCATCAGATATGTGCAGGCTTACATTTTACATACTAATAAAGGATTACTCAAACATGTGAATGAAACAAAACACAACTCCAGGTCTGTTTTTGATTGTGTAACAGTATTATAACATGACTATAAGCACACAAGAGTCAATTTTGTATAATACAGTATATGACCTTTAACTCATGAAAATAAAACTCACTTATAATGCAGTGTCATTTAATAGTTGATGTGGGTTGATGACGGTCTATGGTAAATGTGGTAAGGTGCAAGACGGAAACAGTTCACTTCCTCTTGAGAAGGGCTGACTTCTTACTCATATCAGTAAACATACCTACTTGTGCTGATATTTTCATTGTTTATTCACTATAGTTTCCCCTCACTGAGATAAACGTGGGTGAAGTCAAATGTAGTGCATGCTTTTAAAGAGGAAGTATAAAGTCATTTAAGTGAGTGGTGCTGTGGCTCTAGATGCAGATCTTAAACTGCTGTTATCATTAAACTGTGTAATCTCCTTCGTATCAGCTCAAGTAGTTACTGGCTGTGCCTCTCTGAGCTGGAAAACTTTGTCTTTTCCTGTACAGCTCCATGGTCTTAGAATCATTTACAGAAATATCTCAAAATTGGAAACTCTGGTGTCACTTGATAATTTCAAAACAAATTGTAAAAAGTGTGGTGACCGAGACGTGTGTATGTTTTTCTTGAGAGATGCAAATGGTTTTATAAAATCATATTTTGTGATTTCATTTCATTTTGTATTGTTTGTACTGGCTGCTACTTTGACCAGGTCTCTTGAAAAAGAGATTCTGAATCTCACTGGGACCTCCTGGGTTATTAAATGTTAAAAAAAAAAAAAAAAAAGTTAAATAAATAAATAAATTTTAAAAAGTTAGTCAAAATAACACATTGCACTTGTCCAGGTGTGTCCAGACAATGGCTTGAAGAGCAATTTTGGTTATACTTTTGACTGCATATTTGGCTGTATAATTAATATGCATATGGTGTAATTCTACCACTAAAATCTCAAATTAATATAACATATAACAAAACATAACAAAAATAATCCAAAATTTAGCTTGCGAGTCTTATTAAATGAACACTGGTTCTGTCAAAACTGTGTTAAATGCATCCATCAGTTGGGCTTCAGTTTAAGGTAGAGATCAATTAATATAAAAATGTTTCAAAAGCAGTGCTTCCTGGACCTCCAGAGGATAATACACAGTAGATAGAACACAGTGGTGCTGTTTGGGGAAGGGAAGTCAGTTTAAAGATGCAAAGCACCCAAGGCACTCACTAGTTAAAATAAAAATTTTAATAAAATGCATTGCATTTTAACCAGTGAATGTCTTGGGTTTTTTGCATCTTTAAAGAGATCAATTAATGTTTTTTTTATCGCCAATGTTGATACCAAATGTTTAGAATCCAAAGAAACCAATGGTCGATAAGCTCTGTCGATATTTTTGGAGATGATATATTGGCCAATTTTCATTATTTTGCTTAAACTATGTCATTTAAATTCACTACAAACTCATCCACAGCTCTTATAGTCACCTTTAGTGCTGTTATCTCTTTGAATTCAGCTTCAAATTGAGCTTTGTGTGTATTGAAACACCAGGTTTAAGATTTAAAGGGGGACTATGTAACTTTTCGGTATGGGGTGCGTCACCTTGTTTCTATGGATATGCCCTTGCTCTACTTCAAATGTTCCACAGTATGACATTAAACAGATCTACTTTACATGTACGAGAATTCAATCACATGTGGTTTTATAGCTCAAGAATACTTAGAAAAACAGGCATTTTACTGTAACTGTGAGCACAGCTACCTGTCTCCACAGATCTGACCAGTAGCTTGGCCTGGCATGGCTCAGTCTCCATGAAGACGTAAAGGTTTACTGTGAAACATGTCAGACAAAGCAATAACATCACCATGGAGGAAAGCATTTGACGGACCCTTCACCAGAAAGTTACCCATTGCACCTTTAAGATCGAAAAGCGCAAATATCTCTAACATGAGGCCTTCTGTGAAAGTCCTCCAGCCCCACCACCCCTCCTCACCTCTCGAACACGTCCTTCACCGGCGGCGTGCACACCGGCTCCTCACACAGAGACAAACTGGACTCCCTCCTGAAAAGTGCAGCAGTCACGTGATCCTGAGGTGACGGAGAGATGAACTTCTCCAGGGGGCTGAAGTCGCACACAAACAGCCCCTGGAGCACGTCCCTGTAGATACCCCCGCTCCCATTGTTGCTCTCGGCGACGCTAGACAGCATCCGCTCCACGTGCCACAGGGGCTCGAACAGGTAGAACATCCCGTCCCCGTGCTGGTTGAAGAACTCCCCCACGAACGAGGAGCCGGTGCGGGTGGTGGCCAGGAGCAGGATGTGTTTCTGACCCCCGGATCTGCTCCACGCCTGGTTCTCCTGGTCGTCAAGGAGGTCGGAGAAGTTTGCGTTGGTGAGTTTGGAGAGCAGGAGTTTGAACATGCTGAAGGCCCTGTTGGTGGTGTTGTAGTCCACGGGAGTCTGAGGGGTCTGCACGGGGTTCTGTCTCTGGATCAGCTTATCCGACACCCTGGCAAAGATAATAGGGATGTAAAAATATCCAAATCTCTCGGTACGATATTTTCACAAGATGCATCTCATGATATGATATTTATTGCGATATTTTGTGGAGGCAAAACTGTGAATATGCTTCTTTTTCCTCTTAAAATGCCCTGACAAGACTAAAAGTGCTTATAACAGTTATTTCTTCATGTAGTCTGCATTGAAATGGAGCAAAGGATCATGGTCTATGTAGTTCCTTCTTGTTTTTTTAGCTGTTGCTGCACCATAACTATGCAATTGAGCGAAGAGACTTGTAATTTGATATATTGTGATGGCCCATGATATTATTGAGAGACCTTTGACGATACGATATCACGATATTTCAGTTATTGTTAGATCCATACAAGATTAAACAGGCAGATGTACAATATAAACATACAGGCAACTTAAATGGTTGCGGTCTGAATGACAAACTAGTGATACTTTGCAGTGACATCGCATTGGAGGTTCTGCATGTATGTTTATGGCAGACCAATGAATACATAACACTCATCAGCAAACAGAATCAAAAAGGTTTTAAGATAATCTGAAAACATAGCAAATTCAGCAGATGATGTGATTAATATAAGCGTTTACAGGCCCATTTATTTTATTTTCAACAAAAAGGTGAGAATGTAATGTTATTTAAGAGGGACTTGGGTTAGCATCACAAATCAGCTCACCTGTTGTGCTTTCAGCTGTCAGTTCTTTTTGGTATTCTCCATCATTTCAGATGGAGGTTAGGGACCATCATAACTCTATGGGAGACTCACTGTTTTTGAAAGGAGTCTTGCAACTTATGATCCACAAATGTTGAACTTTATCATTATTTGTTAGTGATTGGCTCCACACACTTGCAATATTAAGGTGAAGTCTTTTCAACTGACAACATCAGGGGTCCTATCTTGCCCTCGATCTTAGCGCTAGTGTTAAAGAGGGGGCTCGTCCAGGTCGGGCAGTACTTTGCTGCTTGAGACTGGAGTGGGACGGTACAAGTACATATATGTTGATGACATCTCAACCAATCTCAAGCCACTGATCTCCTCTCTCCCCCTGGTCACACCTGCTCCCACCTGTCCCATGTCTCTCATTTGAGGTACGTATTTCCACTGCTGCTTCTGCTGACCACTCACATTCTCGTCTCACAGGTGTCCACTGCATTTGGTCCCAAACAGGTCAGCAAATTATGGAATACATTTATTGTCATATAAATATTTCTGATAAATGTTTCTGATTTTGCCACTTTGTGCACAGACATGGATTAAACCATTAACACACAGGGAGAGTGAATGCACAATCTGCGCTCGCAGAAGGAGGTGTCACGCCATGAGCAGCACCCTGCAGACAGGATACGAAAATACACTTTAAGATAGTGCTGTAAACAGCCTCATGTGAATGAGCAGCTTTTGTACAGATCATGATCAAACCAAACTGTAGAACAGAGCTGAGACAATACAGGGAGGGGGTCAGGGGCTGTGCTGTGCTGCGGGAGGGCATCTGGATGGCCCATGAACATCCCGGACAGCACATGTGAATATTATGCATTTATTATTATATTAATATATATACATATATATATTATGTTTTTCAGTGAACTAGTTTGATATTTATTTTTACGATTCTGGCAATTCACCGAACATGCCCCACCACACCCTCAGTTTGCTCCACGCCACCTGATATTTGGACACAGTACAGCTTGTACTTGTTTACAGCCCCACGGCCAACAATTGCAATAGCGGTAAGATCGAGGGCATGGCAGGGCACCATGTTTTTTGGGTTGAATAATGGCACCACTTCCTGAAGCTATTGTGAAAACAGTGTGTTGACACAGAATATGTTGTGCAAATTTTTGGTTCATGTGAATAGGCAAGTAATCAGATTAACCATAAATCAAGTCACCAAATCTGCACTCTAAAATTTCAACCAAGGATTTAATCACCAAAATCAGACCTGCCCTTTCCTGGCAAGTTCATGATGACATCTCTGTATTTTTATGAACGAAGGAGCTCCTTGGTCACTTAGTTTCATATTTTATGCTAGTCAAAATTTCAATAGAAATGATTTGTTTTCCCAGTACCAGTGTTCATGATCTCATCTGCATAGTTTCCTTTCCAAAGTCCATAACTGCACTCTAATTCCATTTTTATTACACATTTTTGACTCCACTGACTGTATAATTTGCAATAACTTCATTTTGTTTGACTTACCATAAAACGATAATATCAGTGTTGATATATTTATGCCTTTTGTTATGACCATGTGAAGTTAGAATTACATGAGTCAGTGGCACATGTAATTCTAACCTTCACTGCATGTTAAGTCTTCATCCACACACTGATGTAGACCTGAGCTCACACGTTTCATATACTGTGTCCCCTGTGGAGTAAATGCCTTATGTTTATGTATTTCCATCATTAGAACGTATGCTTCACATCATAGAGTCGTCCCATTGGATCAATTAGACGTCCACACACTGAAGCTGCCTCGTAAAGACTACATATGCTGCGTTTGATTATTTATGACAGTCTGTGGTGTTTTGAATCGCAAGCGCTTTGTTGGTCATTTAATATTTTACAAATCAACCCAGATAAAGTTGGCTTCAAAATGTTTTATAAATCAAGGATTGTGTAATTATTTCCTTTTTTGTCACTTTATTTTATGTATACTATTTTTACGTTTGGGCGCTTTTGTTTTTCTCTGTGGCCCTGTATGGGGTTGGCCCAGTGTCGCACCTTTTTGTTCTGTTTAACCGGATCATCAGGTCCACCTTTCCTTTATTACTTTGTTTTGCTACTTTTTAGGCAAAGGGTTAAGGGAATAAAACAACTTTAACCCTTAACGTTGTCTCCGTGTCCTTTGTAAGTATGTTGCGATTCATTTTGGGTCATAAATTTCTTTAAACCCGTTAAAAAAGAACAAACAAGGAAACAAGATCAAAAATAAAAGAAATTAAAAGCTAACTCTTCTGTGTCCTTTTAAATATGTTGCCCTTCAGATCGTAACAGCTATATATGTATTTTTATTTATTCTTAAAGATACAGTACGTAACTTTCTAAATATAGTTAAAACCATACCAACATTATCCATGGATAGATAGAATTTTTTGTTTTATGCCATACCATGGAATATAACAGGAGCCAAAGGATCAACATTTCCATGGAAAAGCAGGAAGTGGCCCTGTTCCAGGCCAAGTAAGAGTCAGGTTTGTGGAGATGCAAGCCTGCTCAGAGTAAAGATGCAGGTAAGGATGCATGCTTTCTAGTTAACCTTCACCAAAATTAAAAAATATAAGTTTCTTTTATGGCTAAAGGTGCACTTTAACCAGAAGGACTAAACCAGGACTGAATCAGGACCAAACCAGGTCTAACAGGAATAAACCAGGTCTAAACCAGGTCTAAGACTAAACCAGGACTAATCTTGGACTTGAGAGAGAGAGAGGGAGAACCCCGAGCCTGTGGAGCAGGGTGTCTGCGATCAGATGACGGCTGCGCTGAGCCCCGTGGGGCGTGGAGCTCTGCGCTGGTCCTTTCTCCTACAGTCACCCTACAGTCTGCGCGGGCCCATCCCGATGCTCAGTCCTGGATCAGTCCTGGTTTAGACCTGGTTTAGATCTGGTTTACACTGTGTTTAGTCCTGGTTTAGTCCTGGTTCCTCATGTCTCAGGTCAGTAGTGTAGTAGCAGTATAGGACAGTAGTGCAGATATCATGAGCCTCTGCAGGTTGTTTTCACCATTGCCAATAGTTCCGGTTTGACATTTAAGTTGTAGCTATTTTTTATATCTCACATCGGGAGAAGTGGGTGGACAGCGCACCCCCATGTACCACGCCCACTACACCCCTGGATGCGAGCAAGCTAAGATGTCATTTCATAAGTGCATGTTCGATCAGTTTAATGCCACACTGTGAAACACTCCCGGCACAGCAGTGATATATAGCTACGTAGTACATCTTTAAGGCATAAATTCTACCAAGTTTCAGACACAGTCCATTACGACCTAATCCATTATCAGCCCAGCAGCAGAACTATCTTCCTCCTCAGCCTCTCCATCTCCTCTTCAGTGATGCCCTACAGTGTATCATAAAGTCTAGTCGTGTCTTCTTACCTGGATATGATGTTGCTCTCCTTCTCGATGATGACCAGGGCCACGATACAGATGAAGACAATGGCATATTTGGTCTTCATTCTTGAGTCTTCACTTTGTTCATGAAACTCTACAACACACAGAGCCCTCACGGTTTGTGGTAGAGCATCCGGAGCTTCATACTGCAAAAAAAAAAAAAAAGTAACAGGAACTAAGAATACTTTTTTAAGTATGAATTTAGCATGAATTAAGTCCTTAACCTTGTGAATGCTTATGTTAAGTCATGTTATTGGCTGGTTGTGAATGCAATTTGACTGAAGAATGAGTCAGGTGATGATAAAAGAAGTCTGGAGTTTTATCTATAACACAACTAAACAGGCAAAATGCAAACAGAGCATTTTTGAGTGCTCAGAAAAGACAACTTTAGATGAATGGATTAATGAAATGAGTGTGAATGAAGAAAAAAGCAGCTCCACATAACCTTTTGAGGAGGGGACAACGGTTTACAACATAACATGTTTAAAAGGTCAAAAAAGTCAAATAGATGTTGGGTCATTCCACACCAAATCTCCAAATGTCCCTGCGCGACCATCTCAGATTTGACTGAAAAAATTCTAGGAAGTTCAAACACTTTCTAATAGGAAAAGTCCCAAATTTTAGCTCCCAACTCCTTACAGTTTTGTAATTAAAATGGTCAACTTTGTCAACTATCACCTGACCTGTTTTGAGCAGAGTTTTCCAAGACTATTTAAGGTAGGTCCTTCAAATTTTCAAGGGTTAAGATGGACTTTTACACATGTGCTTTTGGTTTATCACAGATTTCTGGGGGCTTGAATTTGCTTAAAAATTCTACTCTTCAAACACGAGGGCATCTTTGAAGGGCTGTGGAAAGTGCAATTTCATATCAACATCACAGAGCTTTGATACTGAACATACACTTTCCCACACACACTGTGTACTTTGTATTTTAAAACTGATTCTCTGTGATGAACACTCTAGAAGATATTAAGAGTTAAAAATGGAAAAAATACATTTAGTGCCATCTTTACCTTGTTATACCAAATAAATGACAGCATCCACCAACATAAAATGGACTGTTTTAGAAAGACTAGATGTCTGTTTTTAACATATCCAAAATCTGTGATGGTGTTCTGCCTTATTTTTGCAAAATGAAGTTTTGAAATGTGGTGTCTGCATACATGCAGAGCATTCATGGACCATAAAGGCACTTTTCAGAAGCTTAGAAAACACTTTTATTTCATGACACAGTTTAAATTCAACAAAATGCTTTATTTGATTACTCAACTATTGTAAATTACCTTACCTAGAATTTTTTCAGTCAAATCTGAGATGGTCGGGCCCTGTTGCAAAAGATACTAACTGGTGCTAAAACTATTATAGTAATATTTTGGTAATGGTGGTGCAGGGGGAGTACCAGGGTTTTTGACTATTGTGCATAAACCGAGGAAAGCCATCAAGACGCAGAGAGAACATGCAAACTGCATTGACTAATATGTTATAAAATGCTACACAATTGAAGACAAAATGCAATGACTCACTGAAAATGCAGGTGGATTGAATAAGGCAGATGTATCCAAACACAGACCAAAACACAGTACAAATACAGGCAAAGGTCAAAAACACAAAAATCCTCAAGAAGCTTTAGGAATGGCTGGACCGTTATCACAAAAAGGTATAAAACAAACTGGCAGAGAACAACGGCAAAGAGGACAATATATGCACTAGGAGGCTCTGTGGAATATGATACAGGTGAGACACATCAGAGAGAAGCATTCAGCCAAAAAACTTTACACAGACAAGTGGATCTGAATCATGTATCATGTCTCCTTGATTGACAGGCCGATTAACCAATCAGAGAAACACAGGCTCCGTTTTTTTTTTTTTTTTTTGTCAAAAACAAACAAGGCTGCTTACATGTTTAAAAGGATATAAAATCTACATAAAGTACTAAGAAAGAGGGCAGATTTTTACAGAATCAACAATCGATGAACCAAACTATTACTTATTTCAGGTAAAAGAAGTGATATATTTTGTTCTGAATTTTATGAGAATTTTCAAGAGATGTCAAGAGATGTCTTCTGCATTTGAGAGACACATAATACAAATTAGCATCTGGTTGGATCATCTCAAGTTTGGACAGAGGTTTTTCACGTTCTATGGTCCAGTTGAAGTCCTTTCTGGATTCAAACAAAATGTTGGGACTGGCTGGTCAGGCAAGTAACTGCATAGAAGAGAAAGCAGTAGGGCAGCTGTCAATTAATCGGTTGATGGTGTCTTTAGTCGACTAGGGATGAGCATTCGATTACATTTTCTTAATCAATCATTAGGAGAATTAATGATTCATTTTCGGTTAATAATTAACATTCATATAAAAATTATTATCATTATTATTACAATTATTATTTTGCATAAATAAACTCAACTTTACAAAATATGAACCATAACTACGATAGAGCCTCATCAGCTCATTTGACATTATAATGTGTTTAATGCAGCTTTGACACATTTCTTTACACATGTGCTCTCAACTTCATGTTGCAGTAACCGGGATACTGCGTTTACATGCACAATGACAAAACCGGGATATTCAAAAAACCCGATCATACCTGGGACACTGATGTACATGTAAACACACTCACTGAGTCATACAGTGATCTCCAAGAAGCTGTGCCAGAGTCAAAACTGGGAACTGTGAGGCACAACTTCAGTGTTTTTGTCAGACGCAGCCTCGTTACTACGCTACACACAGCAATCTACATTCAGTTTGTCAATTAAAAATAAATGTGACAAAATTCTTAATGATTAGTTATCAAGTAGTTGACTAGTCAAACCCATCTCTAAGGCTGCGTTCAGACTGCAGCCTGAAGTGACCCAAATACGATTTTTTGGCCTCTATGTGACCTGTATCTGATCTTTTAATGACAGTCTGAACGACACAGATCCGATTTTTTTCAAATGCGACACAGGACACTTGGATATGTGCTCCTGAAACTGATACATATCCGATCTTTTGACATGTGACTTCAGTGTGAACGGTCAAAGTGCATTCATCCGACCTACACGTCATCAACAAGCCACAAACGTCACTATTCTGCGCTGAAGTAGGTGAAAATTGTAGATGAACTCCGTGTAACTGAAGCAAAGCACATCACCACTCACCACTCTTGGCTCCGTCTGCGCATCTACACGTTCCTTTTGCCGCTGCCGCTGCCCCACAAAACACCACGACCAAAAACCTCGTCCTTCTCCTAAGTAAGTCGTTCATGTTCAGGCTCCGGTACGAGAGGAACTTTAAAATCGCCAGGTGATCAATGCTCGCGTCCATGTTTGGACAACTTCCGTAAACACAGAGCACGCTCGCTGCGGTGGACGTCATCGTGTCCTCCAGTGCACATGTGGGACACTTTCGGGCCGTTTAACGTTCACACAGGGGATCGCATACAAGTCGCATTTAATTGGAAATGTGAACGACCTCACAAAAACATCGGATTTCACAAAAACATCGGAATTGAGCGTTAAGCCCGGCTGTCTGAACATAGCCTAATCTAGTCGACCACAAATGTATTCAGATTAAAAGGATTTATATGGGACAATGGTGGAAAGGAGAAGTGAGTCAGTTGAAGATTTTGTTAAAAAATAAATAAATAAATGCATATTACACTCATGATTCACAAATTTAACCTGTCTTTATATAAATATGTTGTTTTGATGTTCTTTTTTCTGCATAAACAGTAGTTTTTGCATGAACCTCTGTGCAGGTGTTGTCTTGTGAGTGCAGTTCGGGTCAGATATAAAGAGAAACACACAGAAATAGTTTTGAGAGCCATTTTGCCACGTTCCTATTTAGTCAACGAATATATCAGCAGGACATGTTTTTTAGCTGACAAAGAATGTCTTTAATCGACCTCAGCCCTAGAATGTCAGGACCAGAAGTGAAAGTATCTGAAATGAGACTCAAAATAAATAAGAAACACTGTAAAGAGAACGCAGGAGGACGGGGCGTGACAAAAACTAACTGCCACAAATCAAAAGCGCAATGTTGTCTTAGGCTGAACCCTCCCTGTGTCCAGCTCCTCTGCTCCATCAGCCTCACCCTGCAGCCTCAGACAGGGAGTCCTATGATCAGACCTGTCCCGCTGTGGAAAGTGAAGAAATTTCTCCACAAAGCTCCACCTGTGCGCTCTCAAATGGACCCTGTGCTTTTCCCAGAACTCCTCACACAGTTCAGAAATATTTAGAACAGAAATATCTAAGCAAATTAAAGGGCAAATCAGGTTTCGGATGTGATGAAGATTGGGCTGGTTGTCGAGGATGATCTGTGAAACGCCTTGTCACGTAGAGATCAGGGTACGTGCAGTTCGTTGAGTTTTAATCAAGATGGAGATTCAGTTTTTTGGCAGTGATCAGCTTGGGTCTTTACAACAGAGACGTCTACGGTCAGTCGGTAAAAGCATGTGATTTGGAGAAGAGTTCAAACTTTGGAGGAAGAAATTGTACTAAGAAATTACAATAATAATAGGGGTGGGACAACATACATTTTCCACAAGACGAGATGAGACGCCCGACTGGTAGCCAGGCCATTTCTCTCCAGCGTCTAGGTCAGGAATTGGAATACACTAGACCAGGGGTGGGCAAACTAAGGCCCGGGGGCCATATGTGGCCCTTTCATCTTTTTAATCCGGCCCCCTGAACTTGAATAATAATAATAATTTTCAGTGTTTTAAAAGTCATTTCAATAAATAGTAAATATTGTGGGACTTGAGAGACAGATATTTTGTTATAATGCTTTGTAATAATGTTTAAATATGGGATATTTCAATAATATGGGATATTTTTTTCTCTTATGAGATGGATTACCAAAAAACTCCATCCATTTGCTCCAGGTCCGGCCCTTCCATCAAATTTTAGAGCCCTTTGTGGCCCACAAGTCAAAAAGTTTGCCCACGCCTGCACTAGACAGTTTGCAAGAATCCCGGAAGTTGTAGACGGCGCACCGACCAATCAACGAAGAGCTGTGAAGCCATGACGTCAAACTCAAGCACCTGTCTGGGTCCCTTTTGTGGTACAGAACAACAGTAAACAAAGCGGTTGAGATGGATGGAGACGAAGACAGACATTCTGTGTTGTCAACGATTCCTAAGATGGAGGATTTAAAGCCGGAATAAAGAGAATGTTTGGTGAATTTTATCAAGGGGAAAGATGTTATTGCCCTTCTTCTGACAGAATTTGGCGCATTACATACATCATGACCAAATAGCAGCGACTGGTTAAATAAAAAAGTACCCACCTACCATTAAGCGAATAAATCCTAATGCTATGAGGTCAGACGGTTTCTACGAAGTGAAACCGGCTGATGAATCAGGCTACAAAACTAGATCTGCGAGAACGAGACAAGACAAGATTTTCACATTATTTACTATGAATAAATTGTGTAATCAAGTTCTTAATTTTATTCTCACCATTTTTTATTTTACTTTATTTAATGTTTTTGCTGTAGCGCTACGTTTTGTGACTACAACTTCTCTCGCCAGTCCAATCCAAGCGTAAAAACATGGGAAAAAATCTCACGAGATCATTTTCAGAATGTGTGCCCGAGATCTTGTCCCATCCCTAAATAATAAAGCATTTATACAAGCACATTTCAAGACACCAACGCATAAATACTTAAATCTAGTAACAGACTGACTGAAGAGAAACGGCCACCAACTCTCATGCACAAACCACTTTCACTCTAGGTGACGTGGGTGAAGTGTCCTGCCTAAGGACACAGTAAGAGTTTCCACTACTCACTGCTACTCCACTGTGGCTTTTGATATTCCCAATGATCTCACATCCAAGTTCTAACCAGACACTGCCAGCTGAGTTTCCGAGATCTGAAGACATCAGGTATGGAGAGTGATGATCGCAATTGAAAATCTGACTTCTTGCTCCAACTCCCACTTCTGTTTTCTGTGCTCTGTCACTCATTGCTCCTCTCAGGTTACTGAGACTGAGGAATTAGTCAAATGTTGAGGACATCTGGGTTTATAAAGGGACTATAAAATAATAAACCATAGGCTACATTAAGTTCTCTTTAGTGATCAGCTAACTGTTTCACTCAAGAAGTCAGGAAAATAATTATTACTCAATTAGTTTATCCATCATTGTCTGTACTGTCACAATTTATCAAAATACACATGATACATACACTATCTCAAACACTGAAGGTTTTCTTCAAGTCTCTTTGTATAGATTTATTCCTAAATGCCCACATCAAACCATCACTGTATTTTATTTGGAAAACTCAACTGGCTACAACCCAACAGTAGATGTAAATTTTACTGGATAAAATACATTTTTAAATTAATATGTATTTACTTTAAGTGTTCCCATTATCTACATCAATATTTGGTCCTAGTAACGTCGTCATATTCACTTAGAAGCTCCCACACTCTCACTTTCCCTGTTCCCCGAATCTACAAAGAAGTTGGACGCAGATCATTTCAGTACAAAGCCCCTTCAGATTGGAATAGACAACCACACCCTTAAAAACTTTAACATCTTTCAATTCATTTAAATCATCTTTGTTTTCATGTCTCAAAATTCCTTGTTTGTTTTTAGTTTGTCTTTTTTATTTTTATTTTTCAGTTTGTTCTAGTAATATTTTATATTTGTTTACATCATTGTTATATAAAGTATACTATTTTTAATTTTTTATACATAAATCCGGTTGATAGGAGTGCATGAGGAGTACATGAGGGAGCAAGTCTGTGTGTCTGTGTGTATGTGTGTATGTATGTATGTGTGTATGTATGTATGTATGTATGTATGTATGTGTGTGTATGTTTTGTAATGTAAACCTGCAAGTTTTGTATTTTGTTGATTGTATTATATTGTACTGTAGACTTAGACTTTGATAAACTTTTTTGATCCACAAGGGAAATTATACGGACACAGTAGATCACACATCACAATATAATATAATAAAATAACAAAGAGTTGTTGGACAGTTGTAGGGAGTATTATCTGTTACATAAGGTGAGTTGTTGTACAGTTGTAGGGAGTATTATCTGTTACATAAAGGTGAGTCTTTGTACAGTTGTAGGGAGTATTATCTGTTACATAAGGTGAGTTGTTGTACAGTTGTAGGGAGTATTATCTGTTACATAAGGATGAGTTGTTGTACAGTTGTAGGGAGTATTATCTGTTACATAAGGGTGAGTTGTTTGTACAGTTGTAGGGAGTATTATCTGTTACATAAGGGTGAGTTGTTGTACAGTTGTAGGGAGTATTATCTGTTACATAAGGTGAGTTGTACAGTTGTAGGGAGTATTATCTGTTACATAAGGGTGAGTTGTACAGTTGTAGGAGTATTATCTGTTACATAAGGTGAGTTGTTGTACAGTTGTAGGGAGTATTATCTGTTACATAAGTGTGAGTTGTTGTACAGTTGTAGGGAGTATTATCAGTTGCATATGGTGAGTTGTTGTACAGTTGTAGGGAGTATTATCTGTTACATAAGGATGAGTTCTTGTACAGTTGTAGGGAGTATTATCTCATAATGGTGAGTTGTTGTACAGTTGTAGGGAGTATTATCTGTTACATAAGGTGAGTTGTTGTACAGTTGTAGGGAGTATTATATCACATAATAGTGAGTTGTTTTACAGTTGTAGGGAGTATTATATCACATAAGGGTGAGTTGTTGTACAGTTGTAGTGAGTATGGTATGAATGTGGTCCTGTATCGCTCACTGTATTGCGTATTACTAAAATGTTGTGGTTTTTGGACCCCTCAAAAACTAGATGGCACGTTTCAAGAGACATTCCAATAAAATAAATAAATAAAATCCATTATTTAGAGATATAAACTAGAATTTGCCTTAATAATAAGCCCTGTGGACATATGGAAATCGCTCAGTAGCTATAGGGAACATAAGACTAATGTGTAGCCTATATATATATATTTATCCATCCAGACACAGGGAGAACATGCAGACTCCAACCAGAATGTCAGATTTGACTCATATTAAGCTGTCTGAATCCCAGTGGGGGAAAAAAAAACACTGACAAGGAACGTAATTTGAAATGAGATGCAACTCAACGTGTGTTATATTAAGTGGCAAAAAGTAAATACAATTCGGATCTGTCAGGGGAGTGAATAACGTCTACAAAGCATATCATTAAGAAAGAAAGAGACGCCGGTTTTGGAGTGTGTTCGTGTGTGTGTGTGTGTGTGTGTGTGTGTGTGTATATGTGTGTGTGTGTGTGCCCTGTAACTAAATATCACCCAATTATCTAAGCTTTAATACGCCATCGCCGTCAAACTGTCAAGCGGGCGCGCGTACTTTTCCATATTCAGGAGTCAGCGAAGCGTTCTGCGATCTGACTCGGTCTACTCAAGCAGAAACGGCACATCACTCTGTTTATCATCTCAGTACAAATTACATTAATGGCTGCAGCCTTCAAAACGAGGAGGAGGAGGCGATGGAACCACAGCTACCCGCTCTGAAAAGCCGGTACTGTAAACAATTAACGCGTAAGATCTGAGAGGACGTCATCTATCTTTTTTGACGTGATTGCGAGATTTGACCGCACGTTTTGTTTTGTTTTTTTCTTTTCTTTTCTTGTTCCATCATCGCGTTGGTGAATGGGAACTACCCCCATCCTTCCTCCTCTTCTTCACCCCAGTATAAAGCGGTGATTTAGGGGGATGGGACTTCTCAATGGACGCAAACATCGCTTCAATTGAGTCCGTTTGAATACGCACTAATAAGCGCTTGTGCATGTCATTAATACGTGATGAGGAAATGGCTCGTTCACGCATTCCAGCTTGAATATTCACAAGTAAACGCGCTGGGATGTGACTTGTACGCTAATTGATTAAGATACGGGTTCTGTTGACGCGTTTGTCCAATCGTATTTCTGGGATGCGTTATAAAAACAAACATTACGGTAACAGTGGCGCATTCATCGTTCATTGGCGCGTAGTGTCTTCTGCATAACGGTGTTTATATGCTCGTTACGCACGCGGATATCCCCTAGCAGAGTCGTTTTCACTGATAAAATCGTGATGGTGTAGATGTACGGATGAGTGTCGGTACAAACCTGTCGCCCGTGTCAGTCCATGGTGCTAAACGTCCAGCGTCGTAAGGAAAACGACGATTTCTTGCTCAAATCCGAAGCAACCCGCTGCATTGTCTCAAATAAGGATACACAGTGGTCCATTATGTCCACGGGCTCCTTCCCCCTCGCGGAGGAGAGGCAGCACCGAGTGTGCGTCTTGGACAAACATCCGTGTCAAAAAACTAAGTGTAAAGAAAAACAAATACAAAAACGAGCCAAAATTCTGCAAAGCTGCTGTTTTTACGTAGGAATCAAACCACGTGGTGATGCGTAATAAAGCTGTGTTCCAGAGTAAGTCAAGTGTAGCGCCATAAAAGTTTTACGGGTAACTTTTACGCACCGCTAAAGAGCAGGCGCAGACTTCGGTGAGTGAGTTGAAGTGGCCACGCTTCACTTGTCGAGTCGCTCTCACCGTGTGGGACATCCTGTGCAGGCCAGACCACGTGACTCCAAATACCCTGCAATTTGTGCACACAGACCCCCCATGTCAGAGGAAGGGCCCGCTACTGCAGACGCAATCAGGGGGTGGAGGGGGGCGGGTGTGAAAACGTGCGAGAACAGCAAGTATGCAGCAGGTACGAGAAGTGCTGTTTGGTCACTCTGCTCCTTTAGCATCTAAGAACGAATGTAAAGAAAAAGAGACGGAAAGAAACACCAGATCTGCACACACTCGAGTTAACTGCGTCCATTTCACGTTTAAACTATTTTGAGTTTCTCATTATGTAACTTAAAGTCGCTGTGTCACTTTTCTGGTGGAGGGTCTGCTCACAGTTTGTTTCCATGGAGATTGCATTGCTTTCTCTGACATGTTCCACACAGCAGACATTAGATCAGATATTTACAAATGCAAGGTGTTATGATCAGCAGCTATAATGGCGTGTGCCACACGGGGGCGCCGCAGTGTTATCTGTTATTGAGAAACATGATAAATCTGATACTGACTCAACAGTACAGCAGTTTTCAGATGTTTTCAAAGGTTTTGGTACACTTCCCTTTACATATAAAATACAGCTAAAAGAAGGTGCACAGCCAGTTGTACGTGCACCTCGAAGGGTCCCAGCCCCACTGCGTGACTCTCTCAAAAAAGAACTAGCCTGAATGACCAATCTGGGAGTAATTAAAAAGGTTCAGGAGCCCACAGATCAACTCTATGGTGGTCACAAAAAAAAAGAATGGAGAGTTAAAAACATGCATGGATCCAAAAGATCTGAACGAGAACATCGAGAGAGTATTATCAAATACCCACATGTGAGGAAATAATAAGTGAAATGGCAGGAGCTAGCCAGCAGCGGATGGTAACTCTGACCCTTACCTGGCACTTCTCAGTTATCGTGCATCTCCACTTGAGTGCGGACTGTCACCTGCAGAACTATTAATGAACAGAAAATTTGCGCACAATGCTTCCTAGCGACTCAAGGGCTACTTCACTAAAGAAACAAACTCAAACAGAAAAGGAAACAAAAGGCATTTTATGACATTTCATCCAAACCAGGCTCTCCTCTTGCGAGCAACGACCCAGTCAGGATCGAGGATGCTGACGGCTGGAAATCAAGAGGAATTGTGTTACAGGAGGTGGCTCCATGATCATCCACAGTGAGAACCGAGGATGGACAGGTGCTCCAGTGCAATAGCCGCAGTCTCCTTAAGACTCCACCAACAGCCAGTGAGCCCAGTGATGCTCACCCAGATCCACCTGCTGCACCTCCTGTGAACTGTAAAGTGAACTCTATAAGGCAAGGCAAGTTTATTTGTATAGCACAATTCGTACACAAAGTAATTCAAAGTGCTTTACAGAATAAGAAATACATTAAAATCATAATAAAAACAAATCAAAACATAAATAATCATGAAGATTAAAATGAAAAAAGAGAGACATAAATTGGAGAGAAGAGTGCAGAATGAAAACCTTTCAGTTATATGCACAGTCAAACAGAAATGTTTTGAGCCTGGATTTAAACAGCGTCACAGAAGAGTCTGTCTCACATGTTCCAGGTTTTAGCTGCATGAACCTGAAACGCTGACTCCCCTTGTTTAGTCGTGACTCTGGGCACCAGCAGGAGGCCGGTCCCTGAGGCCCTATACCAGATAAACAAGAACTGAGAAGGTCGACACATGAAGTAAAGAAACCAGACAGACTGAACTTATAAGGTTGAAGAGAAATGTTAAAAATTTAAAAAAATGTAAAAAAAGCTATTTGTTCTAAGGTACTTTCATTTTATTTGAGTATTGTTGCTCCATGCACTTTTGCTAATGGTTCATTATTAGCTATTTGGTAACTTAAGGAGAAAAAAAAGACCATTATTTTGCAGCACTGATTGTGATAGTACTGTGTATTGTTCATCTTCAAAGAAAGGGGGAGGTTATGATCAGCAGCTATAATGGCGTGTGCCACATGGGGGCGCTGCAGTGTTATCTGCTATGTGCCGTTAACAGAAGTAGTAGTGGTAGGTTTTGAGTTTTTTTGTTTGTTTTGTTTTGTTTTATTTCAAATATACAATGTAATATACGATGGTATAAACAAAAACATTGCTGGAGTCTTAAGAGTTCATATGCTCTCAGGGCTCAATCAGCGCAGTTCATAACACATGCATCACAGTGTAAATACATAGATATACATGTACAAATGTAGGAAAGCAAATAAATACATTTATATGTCATATTTCAAATTCCGTACAAAGTGCTTTTGTCTTCAAGGCTTTGGGATTTGTGCAGTAATTCAGAGAATTGCTATAAGAGGACAAGAGGGACTGAAACACAACACATTTGGGTTTCTGACTAGAAAATTTACAGCAATGAATATGAAACTTTGATAGGATTAGGATTAAGTTCAACACATAATTTTTTGGGGCAGGAATATCTTTCTCAAAGACACCAAAGAGAACATGTTTTATATTAAATTGTAGGTTTGTATCAAGCTTTCTATTCACTAACAAAAGTATGTCATTCCAAAAGATTTGAGTGTATGAGCATTTCCAAAACATACGGGTGACCGTTTCTTCAACGCTGTGACAGAATGAGCAAAGATGATCTAGGTTTAAGTGAAATTTTAAGATAACAGCGTTAACAGGGTAACATCTATGCAGGATTTTCAGGCAGACCTCACGAGTCTTATTAGTTACAAAATATTTTCTAGGCAAAAGACAAACATCATTCCAGTTAATGTCCGTAAATGTATTATTCCAGACAAAAACAGAAGCTGGTTTACTAATAGATTCTCTTGTGATAAGTTCTCTTATACATTTGATATTTGTTTTAGAGCTTAAAAACCGGACAGAGTTACCAATAAAACAGTTCTGTTTTAGTTGAGTCATCATTAGAAAGATGTACATAAGTGGACATCAACATTTTCACTCCTGAAGGAATGGGTCAAAAACAGTTGCATATTCTTTTGGCATTACTGGAAAATTGTAAAGAAGAAAAGAGATTTGTGTTTGAAGCATATATCTTTGTTATTCCATATGTAATATTTTTGTGGTGAGAAGTTGTGCTTATATACTAAAGTCCAACATAACAGTAGCTGATTGTGAAAGTTAGAAAGTTTAATTGGAAGCTTGTCAATGCTATAATTACACCTCAGAATAAAATGTAAACCTCCTAATGCATCAAATATATGTGTTGAAATGAAATTCCATAATGAATTTGGGTTCAATAAATATCTTTCAATCCATTTAATTTTGAAAGAGGAATGTAGAGTCTGAAAATCTAGAATGTTAAAACCACCATTACTTAAATTATTAATCATTACATTTTTTTCTAATGAGGTGTGTTTTCTTCTTCCAGATAAAATCAAATAAGATTTTGTCTACTTGTGCATTAATGTTTTTTGGGACATCAAGGGCAGAGCTGTCATAGACTAGACTACAGAGCCCTTCAGCTTTGGAGAGGAGGATTCTACCTGAGATTGTTAAGTCTCTTTGAAGCCACATGTTAAATTTAGTTTGAATTCTATGCACAAGAGGGTTAAAGTTTTCACATTGCCTTTTGTCTTCTTCCTTTATGATAGTAACACCCAAGTATTTCAAGTTTTGTTTCACCGGGATTCCTGATATATGTAAGGCAATACAGTATTTGATGGGAAGTAATTCACATTTGGAAAGGTTTAATTTGAGTCCTGAAGCTAAGGAAAATGTGGTTAATAAGTTGATAGCATAGTTTACCTGAGAACAATCATTTCAAAAGAGGGTTGTGTCGTCAGCAAGCTGACTTAAACAGATTTCTCTTTCTGCAATGGATATTCCTTTAAGGTCACTATTCTTAATATAATTGGCTAAAATTTGCATGGGTAACAAAAATAGAAAAGCAGAAATTGAGGCAGCCCTGTCGTATTCCACGTTCTATATTAAATCTATGAGTTGTTCCATGGGGCAGTTTTATAGAGCTGTTCCCAGATGTATACAGGGTGCAAATGGATTTTTTAAAAAGCTCACCAAAGCCAAATAAATCAAGAGATTTAAGCATAAACTGGTGTTCTAATGAGTCGAATGCTTTTTGGAAGTCCAAAAATAGAATGAAACTGTTTTCTGAAATAAGATCGGAATCATCAAAAATGTCGAGAATGAGTCTCATATTGTCAATGATATAATCTACCATTCATAAAGCCGTTCTGCGACTCCTCAAATATATCAGTTAGTATTTTCTTTAACTCGATGGCCAGGCAGATAGCTAGGATTTTGTAATCATTATTAAGTAGGGTAATGGGACGCCAGTTATTTAAAATTAAGGTATCTTTTTGTGGTTTTGGAATTAAGGTGATTAGTCCTTGGCACATAGTTTGAGGAAGCTGTTCTTTCTCGATGCTCTCTAAGAAGACCTTTAATAAAAACGGAGCAAGCTCAGTGGAAAAAGTTCTATAAAATTCAGAGCTTAGCCCATCAGTGCCAGGAGATTTGTTTAACTTAAGTTTCTTGATGCCTTCTAAAATGTCAGCCTGCGTAATTGGTGAGTCACAGATTTTTTTATTTGCCTCCTCAATAGTTTCACATTGCCCCCTTTCATTAAAAAAATCATTCATGTGAGTGACTGAGAATTTGGATTTGTATATATTTTTATAATACTCTTCACAGGACTTAGATATTACTTTTGGGTCATCTACAATAACCCCATTAATGGACAGTTTGTTTATGCTATTTTTAGTTTGTCTTTGTTTTTCTAATTTAAAAAAGTAACTAGAATTTTGTTCACCCTCTTCTAACAATTTTGCTTTTGAACGTATGAAAGCTCCTTTAGCTTTGTTTATATACATCTTATCCAGTTTTAACTGAAGCGTTAATAATTCAGCTTGTTGTGCTTCAGAAATATTTTCTGGTAAGATAGAGGATATGGATATGAGTTTAGTAATTATATAATTTTCCTTCCCTTTTCTTCTCTTTTTTCAGTTTTGCTCCAGTTTCCATAAGTAGTT